TGTTTTTTTCTTTTATAGCAAATATAATTTAGTAGATACATTTGTGATTTGTTGAATATTTAAATATTTACAAATACGAGTATTTGAAATATTTTAAATAAAGTATTTGAAATATCTGAAATAATTAATAATTACAAGCATCCAAAATAATTACAAGCATCCATAATAATTACAAGTATCCATAATAATTACGAGTATCCAAAATAATTACGAGTATCCAAAATAATATTCGAAATTTGTAATTTTGGATTTACGAATATTCGAATATGGAGTTATAATTATGGTTAGGAACCCTAAATAAATGTAATGTTTACGAAACTTGCTATGCATACTACCTCCTTGATAATACTTTGATCAATTTCTTTAATTTTTCTAATAAATGTATAAAAGTATGCATTGCTATTATTTTATTTTTATTATTGAGTCTGTAAAGCTTATAGACCAATTATGCCATGGTTAATTATTTAATTTTATATATGGGGCATCCTGCAACAAACCATTTGAGTTGTTTCAATGAATTCTACGTTTAAGGGTGTTTTATAAAACATTACCAATTCACTTAGCTTTCGGGGTAAAAAAATCAAATAACGAATGCTTCAAGTCATGTGACCACTAATTCGAAATCATGCAAAAGCAACATCAGATTGGTGTTACTGTTATAGATGGGTGTCTAAACTAAAATTATTTAGACAATGTCTAAAATATAAATTAATTTAGACATGGTCTTAATTGTCTAAAATGCTGAAATTGAATTTTTTATTGGATAATTTACTGAACTTTGTGGATTTTGTGTATATACACGTGACTTTTAGTTGCATTTAAAGCAAATCATTACTATTTATATTAATTTAGACATTTAGTCATTTTTGTCTAAATACTATTTTGACCCCAAAAACAATTTAGACACCTATCTATAGTTACTGTTAAATTAACAATTCAAAATCGTCAAGCTGCAGTTTCTGTTGTACCCACAGCATCTACTCTAGTCATTAGAGCACTTAAAGAACCACCAAGAGATCGTAAAAAAGAAAAAAATGTCAAACATGCTGGTAATATCATGCTTGATGGGGTTATAGAAAATGCTTGTACATTATGATACAAATCATTTGCTAAAAATTTGAAAGGAACTGTAAAAGAAGTTTTGGGAACATGTTTTAGTGATGGATGCACTGTTGATGGGTTAGTTATTTTGTAATTTTATATATACAATTTATTTAATGTTATATTATTTACTATTATTATTTATTACTTGTATATGCATTGATTATTATAATTATTAGTCAAAGTCCTAGAGATTTATGTGCATCAATTGACTCTGGCGAAGTTGAAAGTAAAAAAAATTTAATATAGTTATATGATTTTATATTGATTTAAAATAAAAATTTACTAATAAAAAACTTTTTTTTTTGACATAATTCCTGAAGAATAATGAAGATGCAAAATAAAAATTTATTATTATGAAATTTGGTTTTTTATATTTTTATAATAATGATAATTAATAATTTATTACCAATAAAAATTTTTAAAGGTTCCTTGAAAAAAATACAATTCATGTAAGAAATAAAATTAATTTAATAATAATATTTAAATTTCTTGCTGGATATATAAGAATAACATTAATTTACAACATATATATATGTGTCATGGTTTCATTAGGATCTTTAAATTTATACATATCAATCAATAAATAAAAAGTTAATAATAATAATAATAATAACAACAATAATAATCTATTTATAATTGAACATTAATTATTGAGAAAACCCATCTTGATACAAATGTCCAGTGCACCATTATCTATCTCTGTGTCTGTGTGTAATTGGAATTTAAATATTTTGTTAATTACATAATCTCCAATACTATCTGTCTACAATTTTAAGAATCAATGCTGCCTCATAAATTGATCCTTTGCAAGAGTTTGAATATTTTAAAAAATGTATACAAGTATTATATTTCCTAGAAACCTCTTGTTATTTATTTATCATAGTGATGTTATAAATATAAGCTAAAATAAAAGAGAAATTTATATACATAAATAAATAATAAATATAATTATTGATAAAACGTTTATTAGAATATTTTGCAAGTTTCTTTAATGCTTATACAAACTATTGAATAATTGATAAAACCTTCATTATTATCTTTTGTTCATAGATCTTGTCCTTAATGCTTATACAAACTATTGAATAAAATAGTTTTTCGTGAACCTCTCTAAAACTTATTAACCAACACCTCCATAAAGTAATGACCATATGAAAGCTTAAAGTATTCTACGCCTTCTCATTTACTATCAAATCTTTTAAAGCGATATTGAGAAATAATCTGAGCTTTGAAGTGAAAAAGTAATACCGTTTTTGAATAGCCGTGAATTCATGTAAAGAAGGCCTTTCGTCATGAAAGAGTATTATTAAAAAGCTTTAATGGACTACTTTCATTTTAGTCTAACAATGAAGTTCGAGTTTATTAGATATTTAAAAAAACGAATTTATTTTCACATATTAATATTAATATAGAAAAGCAGACTCGGGATATGTCACACGACTACAATTAAAAATGATTTGTACCAAATTTAACCGGATTTTTAAAACCGGTTAAATAACAACTTTAAATTTATTATGTTGTACATATATATTCCATTGTTAATAATCTCATTTTTTAATAAAAATTGAGATTTAGGATCAAAAAATAAATTAAATCAACCAAGATAATCAGTCAATTCATCAATTGTGATCGATTTAGATTTTATTTTTGTAAAGTATAAAGTATGGAGTTGATTAGCAGGAAGTGGATGAGACAATTCAATCTTGTAATAATAATAATAATAATTTTAATTTTCCAGGTAGTCATAAATATCTAATTAATTAAATTAGCATCATATATAAATTCTTATAACCAACCCAACCATTCATAGTTACTAACCTGATTACTTACTTGTTTACAAATTAAAAAGATAAGATCATCTATGACACAATTACCAACAACTGACATATTAAGGATTCCATACAATACAGTACAAATTTCTCCTAATAATGGAACTTGGACATTATGTTCTGAACAAGCAACAAAATATGTTAGTAAGTATGATTAATTAAGTAGAAAAGAATTACAATATCATAATAATATAATAATAATAACAATAATAACAATAATAACAACAATAATAATGTTATTTATTATGATAAATAGGTTATAGTCTGAGAGTGGTAAATGATTCATTTCCAATAACACCAAATTATGGAATATCAAGGCCAGGACAAGAACAACCACTATTACTAACATCAAAAGTAGGAGTAATATCGTTGGTTGCTTATTCATCCAACACTAAATTCATATCATCATTATCTTGTTATAGAGATTACGTGATGAAATGTGATCAAAACACAGGAGCAATACCAATAAAAGATTCAGATAATTATTGTCTTGTAATATGGAATTCTAGTGTAGACTTACAATATGTTAATGTTAGTTTATCTTTTAATGAATCTGTATTTAATAATAATTTCACTAGTCCAAATAAACAAGGTGGAAATAATGTACCAATAGATGATAACAACAATTCCTTAAGTATTAATATTAGATTAATTAATATTTATTACCTTATTAATATTCCCTTAATATTAGTTCTAAGTTATTTAATTACGAATTTCTTAATTATATAAAATCTTTTTTTTTTTTTTTTTTTTTTTTTCGATGTCATCGTAATGTTATTTTTTATTGGTTATTTCAAATTTACGTAGTAAAATAAATAAACAATTTAAAAAAAAAAAATACCCCCCGTATCTAAACCGTTTGAGCTGACAGATCACCGCATTTTCTTTCCATGTGGCTGTTAATTCCTAAGAATAACATTTAATAATTGTAACCACACTTCAACAAGAAAGTTTAGTGACTTGTCACGAAGACATCCATGGGACTCCAAATCTAATATTATTTGATATCCAATTTGATAATATTATTTTATTATCATTTATATTTTTATTTTTATTAACATTTCTGCTAATAATATTATTATTGTTTTTATTATTATTAATTATATAGAATCTTTTTTTTTCATTTAAATAAAAAATAACATTTCATCACATGACATATTTAGATAATAGTTGACATTCCAAATGTCTTTTAAAAGTGTTAAAGTTAGTAGAGTGACAGACGGCTCACAGAAAATTTTGATATATTATTGTCACCTTTCTATAGAATGGAAGTATAAATCAACAACAGGAAAATCACCTGGCTCAAAAAAGAATTAGGAAGACAAAGAAATCAGCAAAATTTAGTAAAATATACTTCTATAAAGGATTCTTTGTTTCTTTTGAATTCGACCGATAAAGACATTGTTTTTTAAAAAAGAAATTTAATTAAATCTGTTATTGTTATTATTAATATGTGTGTATGTGACTGTTGTGAAATTGAAATTATGTGAAATGGGACATGCTTGCAACAAAACCAGACAAGATTTCAGGGATCAAAATTTAGTCGTTTGTAATGTGATTATAATTCAAAGGTACACCATTTACATCTTTATTAATGGTAGAGTAATGATAATCAATGTTAATGTCTCAATTTGCATATTGCGAATACACAAAACAATTGAGGATGAAATTGTGATTCTTATCTGTATGTGGTATAACTACAACCAAAAGTATGTTTTTTTATAACATTGTAAATGTGAACCATCAAATATTAAGAACCAAACCAGAAACACACTAGTGATGGCAATGAACAAAAAGGAAGAAAGAGTAAGTTTATGAAAACGATAATGACAAAAATGACATTGTTGTGATAAAAAACCTCATGGAAAACATGTCAATAAGGATAATAATTGTAAAAAAAAAAACAAGTGTTCATTATTTAAGAATTATTGATTTAGATGAATCTACAAAGTCAAAGTAACTCAGATACTATTAAATCTAACGGAAATTTAGAAAGACAAATAGCTCTATTAGAAAAAAGAATTGAATTAAATTTAAAAGAGAGCAAATTGATATTGAAAATTAAAAGAGATGAGTTTGTGCAGTAATTTTAAAATGAGTACCATAAGATCTGAGCAGTAGATATTGTACCATGGATAAGTATATCACTTATTACAAGGATGTATTGTACTCATCTATACTTTCTATACTTGTATCTTTAATATAAGTACTGATTGTACTATATTCATTTTAACGTTACCATATTGTACTTGCTGCAATGATAGTATTGTGCTGAACATGCATATAATCATATTCTTTGTATAAATAAAACAAATCTCAATTATAAAAAAAATAATGGGTATTATTTGCAATTTACTTATGAAAGTTGGTCAACAGAAGATGAATTGAACACTTTATTCAAGAGAAAAACTGATAATAGATGTGAAATTGAGCAAGATATTAATTGTAATTTATTTTATTTGAATTATTAACCAGTTGTTTTTATAATAATAATAATTTTCATTTTTTCAAATTTAAAGTATGTTCTATAGCAATGATTAATAAAAATAAGAATTAAATCTACAAATCGACATAATGAATTATTAACTTACAATTTGTAATGAAATTGTATGTTAAAGTAATCTGATCCCAATAAATTCGGCCAACCACCCTTGTTTTGTATCCATTCCTCCAGTAGTTGGTAAGCCGTAAAAATTCAACAAATTGTTTAAGTTTTGAGCTTTATATTTAAAAAAAATATTATTTGTAAATTATTTAAAAAAGAATGTACTAGTGTACAAACCAGTTAGTCCTCGTAGTTGAGATATGTTAGAGGGAAAACTGGTTGGAAATTGGTTCAGTAAGTTGGGAGGCACTTCAATATTTGTAGTTGGGTCAGTAAATTCTTGAATTTAATGATCTACAAACAGACCGGTTATCCCTAAAATATAAAAGGTTCATTCAATAGTTATTTTTAGTAAAAGGGACATAGTATGATTATGGGAAAAAGACTTACAAAGATTGGATATTGGTTTGAATTGCATTTAATTGTGTTGTCATTGTATTAAATCGAGTTGTCATTGTATTGAGGGTATTTTGGATAGCCACAAGCTGATTTGTTACGTCAACAACAGGCATATTTGGTATTAAAGGCACTTCCTGTGCTAACATGCTAAGACCTTGAGAAAGATTATTATAATTAGGTTGTTGTGCATAAAACAAATTACAAAGAGAGGTGAGGTGAGACTTGAATCAGAAATTATGTGCATTATTTAATTAAAATTTACCATGATTTATTTTAAAAAAAATAAAATCGCGTTAATTTGTTATTTTTTTATCAACTATCACAAGTATAATAGAAAGTTTAATTTAAAAGGAGGATCATGTCCCAAATTGAAATCTAAAATTAAAATTTTGGAGGTGGGTGTTTGGATATGAAATTCTGATCGGCTAATTTGAATTTCACATAAATTTCATTTTCACACCAAATCTTTGAATGGCAGAACTGTCTCAATAATGAATGGAGGAAATACTGCCAGTGTAATATAGGAAAAAATGATGCCATGGTTGCATGGACTAAACAGACCAATGATGCAACAATTGGTATCATCAAAAATTTTGAGAAGAAAAACATAAAGTATTCGGATGTTATTGAGTTTTTCTGCATTTCAAGAATAATCCGTTATAATATTTTCACTTAATAAGCCAAGTTTTTCTTTTAATAAATTTTTTAGTTGATCAAGCCAAGAGTCGTCCATCCTTTTAAATTGCCTGATCGATTC